TCCCGAGGTGTAAGTGCCCGCATGCAGAGGGGTCACACGATGGAGGAGAAGCACGCAGATCTGGTGCCGGGGCAGGAGCCGTCTACACCACCACACGCCCACCCCGGGCTGGCTCGGCCACAGGGCCCACACACGGGAGGCTCCAGAGGGATGCTGGGGCAGTCGGCTCAGACCCCAAGGAAGGGACTGATGCTCAGGCAGGACTGTGGATTTCCCTCCAGAGCCGCGGTGCCCACGACCGGCCTGGTCGCTCCTAAGCCCTGTGACCCCTGCCATACACCTACTGTTTGATGCTGCCCCGCACACTGCAACACAGTAGCGGCCTCGCCTGGTGGGGTCACCGGACCCAGAGTCCAAAACTGTGAGCCAACGTAGACCTCTTGTTTTTACAAAGCACCCAGGCCGGGGTACTGGGTAGCAGTGTGCCCCCCTCCGCCGCTGGTCCCACCCATCCACCGTGGCCCAGCCCCGGCCTCACAGGACGAAGGGAGACCTCAGATCGCTCTCAGGTGCCTGCCTTGGCCTCAGGGCAGGGGGTGAAACCAGCGTTTCTTCCCTTGGCCCTCAAAGTGGCAGAGTCCTCGGGCTCCTGCTTGGTGGTTTCCGGCTGTGCACACGGCGGTGTCCTGCGGTCACAGCCGAGGGGACAGCAGCCCCTGGGAGCCCTGGAACGCGCTCGTCAGGGTGCACGGTGGCATCCCGCGCATGCTCTTTCGAGTGGACTGTGGTGGGAGGGTGCAGGCAGCAACTGCTTCTGTGCGTGGGACCAGAGCAGGGACAGAAGGCCGGCCGGAGAAAGCAAGCCTCCTTCCAGAGAGCAGGCGGGCTGTCAGGGTCTGCCACTGTGGGAGGGTGCGTGTGTCTGTGCGTGTGTCTGCGTGTGTCTGGGTGTGTCTGTGTGTGTCTCTGTGTGTGTGTCTGTACGCCTTTAAGTGTGCGTTTGAATTCACCCAGCAACCCACACACACTCACGGCGGCAGACAGCCCCGCGCACGGCTCGCGGAGCGGCTTTGCCGGGCTTCAATGGGACACAGTGGCCGCAAACATGAACGAGTCACAGCAGCGCTGTGGTTCTTGGCCAGGGCCTCGGGCAACGCAGAAATCACACTCTCACAAACACAGGTCCTCAGCCCAGAGTGACAATTAACTGAGGAACTGAGGTGGAGAAGGACTTAGAAAACCAGCACACGCCCGAGGTCTCGAGGACTGGGGTGTGGGGTGGGGCGTGGAGGCCCTGGGTTCCATCCTCGCACCACAAACACTTAGATGATAAGTAGGAAGCCAGCTGCGGGCACAGGATGAACCGGAAGCTGATGTAGGGTGTCTCCTGCACTGCACGCTACTCCGTGTTGTTGGTCTGACTTGATGACCTTGCTGGGGGGAGTCGGGCTGCGCTTGGTGCAGCTGTGAGCCTGGCCGCAGCCGAGGAACCTTGGGCTGAGACGCGGCTGCCGTTCCAGCTTTTCAGGGACACGTGCAGCTTCCTTTTCCCTGGATCTTATTTCATGAGAAGCGAGCAGGGCAGAGGCTTAACTTTGTAAGTGTTCTGTGCTTTGGGACTGTGCAAAGGGAGGTCTTTCCACTTCCGTTTTTATCTACTTACTGAGATAGAAGCAACAGCTGTTAATTTTTCGTATTTCTGTTACATCAATCACAAGATTATTTCCTTCTCCTCCAGTGTTTATATTAATCCATTTTCTCACTTTCCCATTATTTTATTACAGCTGGTACAACCTCCTAAGCAATGTCACATAATAATAGAGAAAGGACATCACTGTCTAAGCCCAAATTTTAATTCAATTCTCTTTTTTTTTTGAGAGGGTTTTACTACGTAGTTCAGACTGGCCTTGAACTCACTACCTAGCTCAGGCTGGCCTCAAACTCACAGTGATCCTCCTGCCTCAGCTTCCCCAATGCTGGGATTACAGATGTGCTCCACTCTGACGCTTCGTCTGCCCCTGCCCTCTCCCTCCACGCGGGCTCCTGTGCTTGGCCCCTCGGCGCTGCACTCTCGTCTCCGTGCTGCACTAGAGCTCCGCTCCCGGGTGACTGCGAATGCAGCGCTGCCTCTGTCCCCATCCCCCTGGGCTTCTGCCATGAACGTGCTTGCCTACTGTCCTCCAGTGTCTGTCCATCTCTCCACACGGCGTTTCGGGGAGCAGCGCCAGGCCCCCTGTACTCAGCTGGGGCAGACATCGTGCCCACAACTCTCCTTGCTGGCCGTGTCCCTCCATTCCCAGGGCTGCAAGGCTGGCAGCAGGGCAGCACCTTCTCTCTCTCAAGCTCCTCTGGTCCAATGACACCAGTTAGGGGCTCAGGGCCACCTGCTCCCCCGAATCTCACCTTAACCTGAGCAGCCTGCAAAGACCCACCCCCCAGGGGAGGCCAGGTGACCAGGTCAGCCACCGTGTCTCTCACCTGCCCACTGGGAGGTGACTGCAGTTTAAATCCCAAGCTGAGTGAACCTGATCCACACCCTCGCCCTCGCGTGTAGGAGCAGGAAGCTGGCACAGAGACCCTCCCGCCTCTGCACACTCCTCGGCCTGGGCAGGAGGGGCACAAACACCCAGCAGTGCAGATGCCCAAGTAATGACACCCACCCACCCGAAACCAAAGTCTCCTCCAGTCCCAGACCCTTGGTTCCCAGGCTACTGGTGTCAGAACCCCCTTCCTCAGAGCCTGGGCTCCCCAGGACAGAGGAAAAGGTCTGGAAGCCCAAGGGTATTCAGCGATTGCCCGTGGTGAAGAGCCCCTGTCTGCCGACCCCCACTCCACTCTGGGATCCAAAGAGCCCAAAACAGAAGGCAGCGCCCAGCGGCACCAGAGCCCCCACTGGGCTTTTCCCGTTCCCGGAGCAGCCGAGTGCGGTTTGCACGCCTGCTGTGGGGCGGAGCCGCCTCTGGCATTGTTCCCGGTGGCTAGCGGAAGCGGGTGTGAGCCCAGCCTGTTGTGTAACAGCACGGCCACACCTGGGCCGCCGCGTGCGCCGAGGAGCAACACGGAGGAAGCGGCCTCGCTGGGGACAGAGACGGAGCTGTGGGTGCCCGGGAAGAGGTCAGGAGGACTTTTTCTCTCCCTTTTTCGTTAAAGAAACACGGAGAACAAAGGTCATTGCTTCTCTCCACTGCCCTGGTAGGAAGCGGTAGGACCGCATCTCACCCTCCCCGCCCCGCGCCGGAGCCCACGGGCCCCTTTCCATTGATCTGTTTACACCTCGGTCAGACCAGCGCTTCCTGCGCAAACCGGTTCAGAGCCACCCCCGCAGGTGGCTCGTGTCAGGTTCCAGCGGGCACCGGGCTCCTAATCCGAGAGTCTGTGCACCGTCCGGCCCAGCGCGCTCGGGCTGTGTTTTGCGTCACCGCCTGCTTCCCACCACGCTGACAACGCTTGGTCCCTCGTCCCAGACACCAGGCTCAGGGTTTTCAGCCACCGCGCTCCCTCAAAGGGGCCAGGGTCCCTGCGCCGCCCACCCGGCCTCCTCCCTCCGTCCCAGTGCGCGAGGGACGCCTACTCACCCCCCGGCCTGGAATCTTCCCGGAGCTGCCCCAGCCTTGTCCCCACGTCCCGCTAATTCCTCGGAAAGGTGTCACTGTTTACGTCGCAGGAAGCTGTATGAACTGGAGGAAAAGCCCTGTGGCCGTTTCCCCTGCCCCCAGCCCTGAGCACGTGCTGCGCCGTCCCTGCCACCCGGCCCCCAGCAGTCGCCTCCCGGAATGGCCAGGGAGTCGCGATCACCGCCGGGAAGGCCGGTTGTCCACAGAGCCTGGCTGGGCGCTCACTGCACAGAGGCTCTGGGACGTGAGCTCAATCCTGCCTGTCGTCGAGGCGCATGTGCAGAGCTGGAGACAGCGCAGTGCCCACGTCAGGGAGCGCTGGGGGACAGGGGACGGAAGCAGGTGCCCACGCAGGTGACACCGAGTGTCCTGCTGCTGGGCTCCTGGAGCAAGAGGGCCCCGGGCTCACCCAGGTCGAGCAGAGGCGGCGGAGGCCATGTGGGAGCTGGCGCCGTGGCCGGGACGGGAATGCGCTCAGCAGAGTCCACGCGCGGAGCACTGGGTCCGTCAGAGCAGGGCAGCCTGGCACAGCCTGGGGCACCAGGTACTGGGAGCCCCTGAGGCCAGGCCAGGGGACGGAGGAGGAAAGACATCCCAGCAGGGCAGGACCCGCAAGGCAGGTGCACGCTGGGTGTGAGGACCCTGTGCCCCGCAGCCTCTGGCCCGGCCCAGAGGGCACTGCGCCTCCCTCCTGGGCCTGCTGCTTCCGGTCCCTCCACAGCTCCTGGGCTTTCGTTGTCCTTTCTCAGTACTGGGGATTGAGCCCAGAGCCTTCCCTGAGCGACACCCGGCTCTTCTTTCTGTTCTACGCTGAAACAGGGTCTCTCTAAATTGCCGAGGGCTGGACCTTTGATCCTCCTGCCTCAACCTCCTAAGTGCTGGACTTACAGGTGTGCCGTCACAGCCGGTTCTGTACCTCCTTAGCATGTGTGAAACACGCACACTCACTCACCAAGCCTTCCACTCCAGGGCACTCGGAGACCCACGGGGCTGAGGACCGAGGCACTGTGCTTGGGAAGATCTGGCTTGAGAGCCGACTGTCCCCACCGGAAGGCTTTTCTCCAGTGGCGGAGCGGGACTCCCTGAGCTCAGGGCAGAGAGGGGCCACTAACCGGAGACGCAGCAGCTGCCCATCCCCACGTGCAGGCCAGGTCCACACGCCGAAGACCCATAGGACGGGGCACAGGGCACAGTCTATAGACCTCCTGGCACGGGCTGTGTCCTGCTGACCACACTGCTCTTGAGAAGGCTTAGCCCCCACCACACTCCCACAGCTGCGGGACCCCAGCTGTCCCAGGGCCTTAACCATGCCGACCCCAAAGGAAGGAGGCAGGCATGCAGGGCACAGGCGGGACCGCCCCACGTGAGCGTCCACTGTCACCTGCGGGTTCCACACTGTCCCCTCCAGCTGCAGGGAACCCGAGAAGGTGCAGCCGTGCCCAGCAGCTCCGGCCAAGAAGGGTGGGAATGAGGCTGGGCTAGGCCCCAGCTTAAAAGCCAGGAGCCCGGCATCGCCACCCCTGCCTCCAGCTGCCCGGCTCCTCCAGCCCTGCGCAGGCTGAGGCTCTCCCCAGCCCTCTCCTCCGCTCCTCAGCCGGCACACGCTCAGCCTGGGCCATGCCTCCTCCTCCGGGCTCTGACGAGCTGGTTTTCTTCGTGAACGGGAGGAAGGTAAGCGCTGTGCAGGCCAGGTGCTCCAGCCTTTAGAGTCTTTCTCTTTGCCAACCTAGCTTTCTGCAGGAATAGTCGAGGTCAGTTACAGCGGCATGGTCCCCTTCCCGTGGGTGCTGGCTCCAGGGGGACCTCCATGTCCTCCTGACCCCAGTGCCTCCCCAACAGGCTGCCAGGCACCCAGCCTGCAGCCACACCACCTCGGGGCCCAGCCACCTCTCCCATCCCATCCGCACCCACCCTGGCTGGGTGACGGCACCCCAACCCCTGGGAAGGAGCAGACACACGACCCCCCGCACCCAGTCTCCTCCCAGGCCACCTGCTGCTCCCTGCTCCAGCTGAGTGTCACCCCCCACCACGGGGGGATGGGACCCTGTGACACCTCTTGAGGGGTGCCAGGGTGACGGCCACTCTCCCTGTCCTGCCATGAACCTTGAAGCCCCTGATGTCACCAAAGCTGCTCCCCCAGAGTGTCTCAGAGACACCCCAGCTCCTCCAGCTTTGCACCCTACAGAGCCCTTGGTTACACACAGGTGCACACACGCATCCATGCACACGCACGCACACCTGGGCGTGCTCACATCACGCTGAGAGCCACCTCGCCGCATGTGCTCGGCGAGGCTCCCACCCTGAACGAACGCCCCAGGGCACGGACAGCGAGTCTGGGGCTGCCGCCAGCCCCTACTGAGGCGCAGCCCGCTCTGCACCTGACAATCTTGCCTGTTCCCGCCTCAGGTGACAGAGCGGGATATCGACCCGGAGGTGACCCTGCTGACCTTCCTGCGAAGGAACCGGACCCTTTCCAGCCTGGCTGTCTGCGGGATTGCGGGTGTCGGGGTGCAGGGCTGGTCTGTGGGAGGAGGTTTCCCCAGCAGCTGAGGGGCGACTCCGTGGTGGGAGAGGGACTGGGCCCTCACTCAGCGCTGCCCCGGGTCCTGCGCCCATGGTGTCCTGCAACAGTGTCCTGCCAGCGGCACAGCGGCAGCGCCTCCCAAAGCGCCTTCCCAGTGTCGGGAGAGCCGGCCTCGAGCAGAGCCGCTCGCGGGCTGCCCCCTGCCTGTCCCCTGCCTGCCTCCCCGTGCGGCAGACGCGCTGTAAGTGGCTCATGACAGGTCTCCCAGAGAGGCAGCAGAATGACAGAAATGACACCCGGACGGCCCCGGCCCCGCACAGGCTCTGCTTAAAGGCCCAGTGATTCCTAATTAGTTGTCAACACTTGAAAATTAGGACACTTCATGTTTACAAGGATCAAGATTCCCTTCACTTCTCATGACAAACGGGAAGGTGGCGGGCTCGGGGCGGGGTTCCCGTCACCTCTCTGCCCTGCGAGGGCCGCTGCCTGGCACGTGGCCTCCCCTGGCCTCGGGCTCTGCCTTGACTGACAGCTGAGCCCGATCACGAGCAGAGCCCACCCCGGCGGTGCCCGGAGGGTTCTCTCGAGTCCGGTCAGCACAGCTGGTCCCGTGCGCGGTGGACACGGCTCTCCCAGAGAGGAGGAGGAGCCAGGAGGGCGGCCCAGGCCTGGCTGGGATTGGGGTCCTCACACGCAGGCAGAGGGAAAGGAGGGGGCTCAAGCAAGCTCTGAAACGGACTGCGGGGCTCCAGAGGGCGCGGCACGCAGTCCCGGGCTACGCAGAGTGACAAGTGAGGGACTGAGACCGCGGGGCTCAGGGGCCGTGTCACCTCCCACACAAGGCCTGCCTGTCTCCAAGTCCGCGTGAGACAGGGCGCCCCCGCGGGCCCAGGGAGGAAGGCGAGGACGCTCAGACCCACCTCTCGAGGGGCTCAGGGGTGCGGCGGTTCTCCTTGACCAGCCCTGCAGTTGGCCTCACGGGGACGAAGTCGGCCTGCGGAGGCGGAGGCTGCGGCGCCTGCACGGTGATGCTGTCCCGGCACGACCCGGCCTCCGGGAAGCCGAGGTAGTGCCAGCCCGCCTCACATGCGGGAGTGGGCGCGGGCCGTGCGCCTTGCTCTCGGCCCCTCGAATCCCCACAATGCTTGCGCCGTCGGCGGGGATGAGGCACGGGCTCGTCGCACTTCACACGGTAGTCGGGGAGCTCGCGGGCCTCCCAGGCCTCCTGTGCTCTCAGCGCTTCACAGCTGGGAAACAGGCTCCAGGGCGCCGCAGCGCTGGGCTGTGGGATGAGGACCGGAGCCCGCGCCGCCCGGCCCTGCGCGAACTTTCTACCCTGGGCTGAACGGATCCTGGGCGGACTCTAGAACTTGGGCTTCTTCCAAACCCCCAGTCTGAATCACAGGACAGCGTCGGAACACAGGCCGGCAGGCGGGACGCGGGCGGCAGAGTTAGGAGGCCTGAGTTGCAGATGGTGCAGATGGTGCAGCTGCTGTGAGGCCCGTGTTCCACGGACGTCCAGGCACAGCCCTCGTGACCAGGCGCTCCCGTCGCCCCAGGGGTCTGCGCTGGGCTTAGAAAGCTATCCGGAAGTCAGGACACCCGAATCTCCTCAGGGCTCCCCACCCTTGCAGAGAGTGCTGGCCCTGGCTGCTTGCCTGTCCCCTCCCCACTTCCGGGCCCTGCAGTCACGCCCCTTGGTTCTCCGTGTCTCCCCACAGACATGTCTCCATCCCTGCGTGCCTGGTGCCCCTCTGCTCGCTGCACGGGGCGGCCATCACCACCGTGGAAGGCGTGGGCAGCATCAGAACCAGGGTCCACCCCGTGCAGGTGAGTAGGATCCACTTCCCTCTTCCAGGTCATCCCAGGTCGTGGAAGCCTGGACGCCCGGGCGCTGGTCAGGGCATCGCTTCTGCCCGGGGCTCAGAAGGATACTGGACCCAGCCCTCTATAGGTTGATCACCTTGCTACATTTTACACCTACGAGGTCAGCAGGGTCACCAGGATACTGACGACGCCCACCGGCTGTGACAGGGAATAGGGGCCACACGCAGGACAAGCGAGAGAGGGCAAAGCTGCTCTGCTGCTCACAGGGTAAAATTCGGGGCTTCTCCTGCGGCAGAGAGGCCCTGGGGTGAATCAGAAGGGGGCAAGTGGAGTCTGAAAGTACCTTCAGAGCGCGGGACAGTCGCGTCCACACCCTGGCCTGGCACAGGGGCAGAGGCTGGACTTACAGTGAGCATGGCACACACTGGCAGAGCTGGTCAGTTCCTGTTACTGTCCTGGAGCTCGGGCAGTCCAGGACCGGAGCTCCCAACGTGGGCCTCTGAGGCAGGCGGAGCCCAAGGCCTCTGGCTTCACCGTGAGCTTCAAAGCCGAGCCAGCGGCAAAGGTGAAGGACCAGCCACATCTCCCCGAAAGGGAGGCCAGGCGCACGTCGGCAAGGTGGGGACCCGAATCCTGGACTGCACCGCACGCCGAAGCCCAGAACCAAGTGCTCCAGGTGCTACTGCTCCCAAGAGCCAGTGGGAGCCGGCTAGAAATGCAGAGTCCCCGGCAGGAAGTTTGGAGTGAGGTGTGGCCAGTACTGCCGGGCGGGGCTGCGCTGTAAATAACCAGGCCTTTGAAAGGAGAGCTCGCTCCGAGCGGGGTGTGCGGGCGGCAGGTGGTCCGAGTCCCTCAGGGAGGCTGCCTCGAGGTCAGGACGAAGCTTCGCCGGATGGGGCGGGGCAGGGTGCGTGTGCAATGTCTGTGCGTCCTCTGGTCACGGCTCCCTGGGGAGCCCACCAGCCCTGACAGACCGAGCTGCGCGCTTGAGACCTGGCCAGGAAGAGGTTTTGGTGACGCCTGTGTCTTCCAAGTTCTGTCCCCAAAGAACAACTCAGGCTCCAGGGCTGGGGTGCATTTGCTCTGACGCTGGGCTCCGCCGTGACGAGGGCAGCACTGGCCTTGAGGGTGGGTGGGGGCAGAGGACAGGGCAGTGACCTTGCTGGCGTCCTTGGCCACAACCTTGCTCTGTGCCGCAGGAGAGGATCGCCAGGAGCCACGGCACGCAGTGTGGCTTCTGCACGCCCGGGATGGTGATGTCGCTGTACACGCTGCTCCGCAACCACCCGCAGCCCTCCGAGGAGCAGCTGGCGGACGCCCTGGCAGGTGGGTTGGCAAGGGGCTGCAGCCTGCACCCGCTCAGCGCAGCCGGCCACAGAGCCCCTGGTGGTCACTAAAGTAACCCGAGGCAGGCAGAGCCCACAGGGCACCACAGACCCTGCCACTGCCCAGCGGGACCTGGACTCCTTCCTTAGGGCCTCTGCTCCCCAAGATGCCTGCAAAGTGCCCCAAACTGGGCGGCTTAGAGCAAGGGAACCCCCCGTGATGGGGAGCCCCTAAATCCCTGGCAAGGGTGCAGCAGGCTGGGCTCCGAGGGCTCCGAGGGGGTGCCTGCTCGCCCTTCCCAGGCTTTTGCCACTGTAGGCTCGTCCACGCAGCCCTCGTGGCCTCCTCACCCTGTGCATGCACCCTCTCCCCCACGAGGACACGGCTCCCTGGATGAGGCGCCTCAGCCCAGCACAGCTGCCTCTGGCCGCAGAGGGGCCCGCTCGCAAACGGGCCACGCACACCACACCAGGGCTGCACTGCGGCTCGGCCTCTGCACGGGCACGGCCCGCTCGGCCCCAGTGTGGTGGGGCTCAGGGTGACCACGGCAGCAACCGCAGGCGGGCCTGGGCAGCCAGCCCAGGTTCCCTCTGCCGCGCTCTCTGTCTGTCTCTGTCTGTCTCTCTGTCCCTCTCAGATTCAGTCATCAGAGTCCCCACCTTCCCTGTCCCTCAGGCCCCCAGCAGCTTCTCCCGAAGCCTAGCCAGGCCTCCAGCTGCCTCTCCCTCCCACCGCCCTCTCCAGCTCGGCCTTGCTCCCGGCCCCTGCAGTCCTCCCCGGCTCCACGGCCCTCAGCCGATGGTCGGTGGTCCCCAGGCCCAGCTGCTAGCTCAGCCTTCCGGAAGCACTCTTGTCCTCTGCCCCTCCAAGCTCCGCCTTTGCCCCGTGAGCCTGAGGCCCCCAACGCTAGCCTGCCGTGGAGGACACAGTCCCCGACACGCAGCTTCCTGTGCCACCCCAGACACTGACTGCACAGAGTCAGGCAAAGCGGGCTCTGCACACCTAGCAGAGGCTTCTGTGGGGTCCTGAGGCAGAGAAAGCACCAGTGCTCCCTCAGACACCTGGGCGTGGCACCTTGCCACCAGTCCTGTTCAGGACCCTGCCTCACGCGGTCAGAGATTCCTTGCTGCCAGTGGACGCGTATTGGGTCAGAGGCAGCAACTGGTGAGCACTCACCTAGCATGTGAGAGGCCTGGGTTCCATCCCCAGCACCATGAGATAGGCAGATGGGCAGGTGCATGCTAGGTAGACAGATGATCAGTAGGTAATAAGACAGACAGAGATAATGGATACAAAGACGCACACACATAGACACATGACAGATGACTGATGGATATCGATAGATAAGACAGACCCATAGTAGACACATAGACACCCAGATACACAGAGATGTGACAGACATGACTGACAGATAACAAGAAAGACACATAGCTACATCAATAATAGATACATAGACACAGGCATACATAGATAAGTGACAATTGATAGTAGACACATAGACACACGATAGAGATAGATAATAGATGACAGGTGACATATAGATAGATGATAGATGATTGATTGATTATTGCTTGATTGATAGATGATAGATGATTGACAGATGACTGATAAGTAGGTAGATGACTGATAGGTGATAGATTATTGATGGATGGATTGATTGCTGATAGATGATTGATAGATAGATGATTGATAGGTAGATGATTGATAGATGATAAATAGATTATTGATTGATAAATGATAGATACATTATTGATTGATAGATGAAAGATGATTGATAGATGATAGATGATTGATAGGTAGATGATAGTTGATTGATAGATGATAGATGATTGATAGATGATAGATAGATAGATAGATGACTGATGGATAGATTATTGATAGATGATTGATAGATGATAGATAGATTATTGATTGATTGATAGATGATAGATGATTAATAGGAAGATGATAGATAGGTGGATGACTGATAGGTAGATGATTGGTAGATAGATTATTGATTGATAGATAGATGATAGATGATTGATAGGTAGATGATTGATAGATGATAGATGATTGATAGATTAGTGATAGATGATTGATAGATAGATAGATAGATGATTGATGGATAGATAGATGACAGATAAATAGACAGGCAGACAGACAGGTAGAGCACAACCCCTGACAGATGGCAGTGCGTGGGTGGATGTATTGGGGGATGACACACCCTGGCTAGACTCATCTTCTGTAGAACAGAGGATCAGACTGGAATTGAGGTTGTGGGAAGGGCAATTGTCCAAGAAAAGGGAGAAAATTAAACTGGTTGGCAGATATTGCAATACTCTCCATTTTTCTAAAACCTGAGGCTGAGGTGCAGCTCAGGGTGCCGCTCACCTGGCACGTGAGGCTCAGGCTTGGTCCCAGCAGCCAGAACTGGGTGGACAGCGGTGGGTCACCAGCCACCTGTGTGGGCCGCCCCGGTCCCTCTCACAGAGGCACTGACAGCGGCCTTGCTCCCCCAGGGAACCTGTGTCGCTGCACCGGCTACCGGCCGATTCTCGAGAGCGGCAGGACCTTCTGCTCGGTGAGTGAGGACGGGCGCAGCTCCAGAACGGTGTGGCAGGAGCGCTGGCCGGGGCTGGGCCCCGCGGGGACAGCACTGCTCAGCATCCTGGGTGCGAGTCTCCCCGGGAGCTGGCACGGCAGGGGAGCCAGGTGGTGCCACAGCACCAGACACCTCCGAGAGGAAGAAGAAGGACACGGCCCGCGAGGGGCTCCAGCAGCCCAGGGAGCAGGCGAGAGGGGTGGGCCGGCTCTGGGAGCGGGGTGACCCCAGGAATCCGATCTGCGGGGCAGCAGGCCAGGGAGGACCGCGAAGTGCACAGTGGGCCAGCCCTCTGACCATGCGAGGGTGGACGGGGCTGGCGGCTGGGCCTCCGGGTCAGATCGCCTCTCCTGGCGAGGCCCAACAGTGTTGGGGACATTGTTCGCAGCGTGCACAGCGTTCAATGGGGACACGTGGCCTCGACTGAGGGCGGACGCTGAGGCCAGCACAGTTCTCAGAGCCACGTGCAGCATCCCACGCCTTCCTGCGGCCATGCTTAGGCCTGCGGGGTGGAGGTGACAGAGGTCACCCTGCATCCTGACCTCTCCCCTGGGAGGACCAAGTCAGGCAGCCTGCATCTCTACCCTGAGTCCTTGGGATGGGGGGCTAGAGCTGGACACTCAGGTGGGACAGAGCTGGACACTCAGGTGGGACAGAGTTGGACACCCAGGTAGGGGACAGAACTGGACACTCAGGTGGGACAGAGTTGGACACTCAGGCAGGGACAGAGCTGGACACCCAGGTGGGGACAAAGCTGGACACTCAGGTACAGACAGAGTGTGTAAGGTAAGTGTTCTCTCACTGAGCTATATTCACCAACTTGATTGATTGATTGATTGATTAGTAGTTTGGTTGGTTTTTTGAGACAGGGTCTCCCTATATCATGCAGGTTGGCCTTGAATTCTTTATGTAGCCCAGGCTGGCCTCAAACACCTACTGATCCCCCTGCCTCAGCCTCCTGAGTGCTGGGATTATAGGTGTGTGCCCCAATGTCCAACATAAAGCAACTTAAAAATTGATTTTACCACTAGGAGTTAACATAAAAATTTCAGAAATATATACAAACTGCATGTGTAATAAACAAAAACATTCACATACCGTGCGCTTTATAGATATTGGTATATTAATACAGTACAATCCTAAATATGTGTCATGGGGGCTGGAGATTTAGCTCAGCGGCAAAAGCGCCTGCCTGGCAAGCGCAAGGTCGTGAGTTTGGTTCCCGGTACCGGAGAAAAACCAAAAAAAAAAAAAAAACAAACTAAATATGTGTCATGTCAGACTAGCACCAAAGCAGTGGGGTGAAGACTGTTCATTCTTTTAGACTTCGGTATCTTCTTTTTTTCTTTTTTCTTTTTTTTTTTTTGTCTTTTTGTCTTTTTGAGGCAGGGTCTCACTGTGCAGTTCAGGCTGGCCTTGAGCTCACTTTGTAGCCCAGGTTGGTCTCGAACTTGCAATGATCCTCCTGCCTCAGCCTCCCAAGCGCTGGGATTGCAGGTGTGCGCCACCACGCCCCACAGACTTCGGTATCTTCTATGTTATGTTATGTCATGTATTTATATTATAATCATATTGTAGATTGTATGTTACATATTTTGTCATAGTTTTCCATCACATAATATATAGTTTCTATAACATAAAAATATAATATACTGTGTGACCACGCTACAAAATAACCAACACAGACGAAGCAGGGCGCTGAGTTATCTGTGCAGTAGAAAACCCAGTGTCCTGCAGACCGGCAGCCCCTGGACGCCACCGCGCGGTCCAGCTGCCAGCCAGGGCTTTGCCCCCTCAGGACTCGCATGGCTGCGGGCAGAGTGGAGCTGGGTGGTGCTGTCTGGACCGGCCGGGGGATGACTCCTCCCCACCGGGGAGCAGTGGCCTGCAAGCTCATGTGAGTGTCCCCGTCCCTGGGTCCCTGGCGGGAGCAGAGCCCTGCGTCCCCGGGCGAGTGTCCACACCCCTGGCGGGCCCAGCCCTGGCTGTGGAGCAGCTGGCTGTGGCCCTCAGAGTGACGCCCGGGCACTCTCCTGTGGAGCGGGGTAACTGGGGCTCCAAGCTCCCCTTCTCCCCTGCTGGTCTGTGAGGCTGGAACCGAGGGAACCGGACCTTTCCACAACAGAGCAGACCCCACCCCAGCAGGGAGCAGCCGCACCCTGGGGACGGGTCTCGGAGGGGCCCTGTGGCCCCGCGTGGCCAGGGGGCCTCAGTCACCGCAGATCCCCCGGGTTGGGTTCGCGGCCCTGCTCGGAAGCCCGGCCCTTGCCCCGCTCTGAGCGACACTCAGCTAGCTGCGAGGCTGCCGAGGCTGGAGCTGAAGGGGCAAGGGGGCGAGGCGGCGCCAGTCAGAGCCCAGGGCAGACCTCAGACAGCCAGCTGGGCTGTGCCCCTCCCCCCCCACCCCTCTGGGCTGGTCCTTCCACCTCCCCCTTTGGGCTAAAGAAACCGGGGAGCAGGGGCTGAGGGTGCCTGCGCCAGTGCTGGACGTCCCAAGTCAGCCTCGGCCTGCGGGAACTCACAGAGCAGTGGCGGCTCGGGCACCCGGACCCCGCTACCGCATGCGAGAGCGGCAGAAGGCGGGGTGCCCAACATTCGCCCCAAAGAGAACCCAGTTATAGGAAGAGCCAGGACGCGGCCCGCACCCTGCCGCCCTGCTCCCTAGGGACCCTGGGGAGGACCCAGCTCCTGGCAGGCGCGCCGCCGGGCAGTGGTCGGCGCGGTGGCGACGACGGCACCGCCGCTCCCTTCCCTCTGCGGCTCCTCCGCGGAGACGAACCTGCGTCTGTCCGGGACAGACCCGTGTGTGCGCGTGGCACCCCGGGAGCTGGCCCTGCCCCTCCCCCGCCCCCCTGATGCCCGGCCTCTGCCACCCCCAGGTGTGCTCGGAGTTGCTGCCCAAAGCCGAGTTCCAGCCCTGGGACCCCAGCCAGGAGCCCATCTTCCCCCCAGAGCTCACGGTGAGAGGAGCAGGCTGGGCACTGCTGGCGCGTGGGCGGCTCGCTTTGGGCCCTGAGACCCCGACCCCGCGCGGCCAGGACTCTGCTGGCTGTCAGCGGGCGGCCCGCCCACACCAGGCCGCGGCATCGCTGAGCTCCTGGCCGCCCCTCGCGCAGTCCTGGCTGACCAAGGCTCCTGAGACCGGCGTTCTGGAGGGGGCTTAGGAGTTTGCTAATGGGCTCAAACCCAAGTGGGCACAGGCCTGGGGACGGGTGCACATCTGGACAGACAGACAGACACTAGCAGAGCAATAGATGAGAAACACGGTGTCAGCAAGTGCAGAGTGGTCAGGAGGAAAACAAAAGAAAAATGGAGGATGGGACACAGGCAACTGCATTTAAATATCTGGGCCAGGGAAGACCTGCCCAGAGGGGCAAGTGTGAGGACATTTGGGGAGGGTAGCAGCTGGTCCCAGGGATGAGTGGGGAGCACCCAGGTGGTGAGGCAACAGGTGCAAAGGTCCTGGGGTCAGAGAGTGTGGAGGTGGCTCGGAGGTGGACTCAAGCAACTCAGTGTCCCGGGTTTGTTTGTTTTGTTTTGTTTTTCTTCCAGTACCAGGAATCAAACTCACCACCTTGCACTTGCTAGGCAGGCACTGTGCCGCTGGGCTAAATCCCCAGCCCCAGTGTCCCGGGTTTTACCCTGCATGACACAGACACCGCTGCAGGGTGGCAGAGAAGGGACCACACCTGATGCCCTGCGGTGTGGCCATGGGGGGGACCTGGGGATCCAGGTGCCCTGACAGCAGAGCCAGTGTGGTGTGGACGGGCCAGAGCTCAGGGAGGCCACTTGCTGGGTGGGGTCAGCAGCGCTTTGGGGAGCCTGGGCTCCTGTGGGGCCGTGGGAACGGACAACACAGCAGGAGCTCAGTTGGGTCGAAGAGAGTGGACCGCCTGCCACCCTCTCAGAGGTGCCCAGGCCCGGCAGTCAGAAGCACGGCTTCAGAGGGCGCTGTCTTCCGGGCACCGTCCCAGGAGAGGTCTGTGGCCTCCTCGGACTCACCCCACTCACACGCACTCCTCTGTCCCCAGCGGATGGCGGAGAGCCCGGAGCGTCGCAGCCTGACCTTTCGTGGAGACAGAGTCACCTGGGTGTCCCCCGGGGGCCTGCGGGAGCTGCTGGAGTTGAAGGCACAGCACCCCGAAGCCCCCCTGGTGCTGGGCAACACGGCCCTGGGTCAGTGTGACGCCCCCGCCGCCTCCTGTCCCACCCGGCCTTGCACTGCACGACCACCTCGTCCTGCAGAATGGAGGACGCAGCTTCCCGGGGGCAGCTGCGGCGCTCGGGGGCGGTGGTGAGGGCAGAGGCCCTTGGTCGCTCAGTCCTCTTGCCCTTTGCGCTCCTGGCGCGGGGGTGATTCCTGCTTGTGCTTCTTTCTGTGAGCGGGGACAGGCCTCGCTCTGCCAGACAGCGAGCGGGACAACTGTACCAAAACGTGTGGGTCTGTTCACAAAGCCGTGCACACCAGGGGCCCCCAGGCCCACCGTGAGAACTCAGATGTTAGCCAGGAGCAGTGGCAAGAGCCTGGACTCCCAGTCCTCTGGGAGGCTGAGGCAGGAGGATCACAGGTTCAAGCCCAGCCTCAGCAATTTGGTGACTTAGCGAGACCCTATCTCCAAAAGTAAAGAATAAAAAGGGCTGGGCCTATAGCTCCAAGTGAAAGCCTTTTGCTCCATCCCAGTGCCAAAAAGAAAAAAGGAAAAAAACACCCAAACCCTCCAATATCATGCAGAGCTTTGAAGGCCCACGGGCCCTCCCAGACCACAGTCCCTCCCCGCCGAGGGGTCCCGCGGCCGGGCCCCGTGCCCCTCCTCAGTTCTCTAGCTCTGCACACACGTAGGCCCTGGACAGGATGCGCCCGGCAGGGGTGACGCTGCACGCGCCTGTGGCCCTCTCTCCGCTCTGCGACCTCGCCACGGCTCCTGCTGCGGGTCCCGGTGCGGACGGAGAGCCTCTCCCAGCGCCCCGCTGTTCCCAGCAGCGCTCCGCAGATTTCGCCCAAAGGTCCTGGCGCGTTGGAGGCGCGAGGAGCTTCACGCCCGGTCCCACCTTCATAGACGAGGGGCGAAGCAGGGGAAACCGCCCGCCACGCTGCCCGGCCGAGCCGCTGTGCCCACGCTTCTGCTCATGGCTGCGCCGTCTTTACCTCTCTCCTGAGTATTTCACGGGAAAAGTCCAGCACCCAAAGAGGCCTTTCTTCTTCCTCACCGTCCGAACATGTGCACCCGCAGGCCCCGCCAGCAAGCCCCACGGCCGCGTCCACCCGCTGCTCATCTCTCCCGCTCGGGTCCCGGAGCTGAGCGCTGTGACCGAATCCAGGGACGGTGAGTGCCCTTGGCGACAGCAACGCCGCCCCTCAGTGACCGCACCTGCGCGTCCTGGGTCTCGTGGGACCCGTGCCCCACTCCTCCCGTGACAGTGCATCCCCCTGGCGATGCCCCCGTCCCGCCTTCCTGGGACAGGAGACTCCGGTGGTGCCGCTCCAGGCCCTGCCCACCCACAGGAGTCCTGTGTACCAGAGGCTGAGGGTCCCCCCGCCAGACAGCATGCAGCATCACTGTGATGGGAGGAGGGGCCGTGTGCGGCTGGGGGCAGCGGCAAAAGAGCAAGTGGGGAGCCCACGAGCCAGCACCCCACAGCCCCAGCTGCAGCACCCCAGGAACCACCGTGCAGGGGACTTCCAGGCCCAGGGGGCCACAGAGAGGGAGGATCTGCACAAGGGGTCACCTCAGGGCGTGCGACCCATGCTGTGCACTCCCGTGTGTGGACCTGCACGCAGTCCGCCCAGGGAAACAAATTTGCCATCGGGTCGGAGCTCGAATGCCCGGAGACACCCTTTCGCTGCCCCGGGGTCCCAGCCCAAGGCCTGCGGCAGGACGTGGCGCGGCTGGTCTACCCTCACCGGCAGCGAAGAGCAGGCACAGCACCCGTGATAGCCAGGCTGGGAGGGTCCAGCGGGAGGAGGCCCGCGCCTTCCCTGGCACCGTTATGGTTGCTCCGTCTGTAGCTCGGGGCGGGTGTTGGATAGGCAGGGGAGCAGGCTGCCAGCGGAGGAGGAGACGCCGCCCTCCACTGCCCACCACCCAGCCCCCTCGCTCCACTCCAGGGAGGCCCCGCCCCAAGCAAACCCTCACACACCGAGTCCTTCACTTGGTAGACGAAAAACCGAGGTGCACAAGCAGGCGGCTCCACAGGCTGGTGGCGGGTTCAGGCCCCACAGCCAGCGCAGGGCTCGCGCTCCACCGCACAGCAGCTGCCTGGGGCTGAGCCAGGGCCACACAGGGCAGGGGCGCGAGCCCAAGCCCCGCCCCCACTGCCAGGGCGGAGCGCATGTCCTCGCGTGGTCATGCTGCCACATGTGTGTTCACAGGTGCACACAGACACACAGATACACATCCATGCATGTATGCACATACACACATGCACACAGAGATATGCACACCCATATGCACAGACACACGTGCACACAGATACACATCCATACATGTATGTGCATACACACTTGCACACAGAGATATGCACACCCATATGCACAGACACACGTGCACACAGATACACATCCATACATGTATGTGCATACACACTTGCACACAGAGATATGCACACCCATATGCACAGACACACGTGCACACAGACACAGAGACACTCACACCTATACACATACACAGACATGCATGTGCAGATACACACATACATACACGTGCATGCAATGCACACACACCTATACGTGTACACAACATGCATGTGCAGGTATACAAACATACACATACATGCATATGCACACAGATACGCACCTGTGCACATATGCACAGACATGCATGTGTGCAGATACATGCATACATATTCATATACATGTATACATCCATTGCACTAGATATGCACACCCATAGACACAGATACACATGTACACACAGACACACAGATACACACAGTCATACACAGACATGCATGTCCACACAAATACACACCTATACATGTGTGCACAGATGGACATGTACACAGATACACGCATACACATTCATACACATACACACATGCATGCATGTTCACAGACACACTGATACACACCTGCACATGTACACAGAGACATGCATGTGCACACAGGCACACATGTGCACATATACACAGACACGCATGCATGTGCACACAGCCGCAGAGGTAAACACACAGACAGACACACATGTAACAGACATACAGATACACACACATGGACACACATATGCACACAGGCACATTGGTACACACGTACACAATTGTGCACATATGCACACACAGATACACATGCACACATATGCACACACAGACACAGATACACACTAACATAGACACACGCACATGCATACATGCACACACGTGCACACACACTCCGAGAGTGCACCCTCAACCCTAAAGTCCCGGAGCCAGGCTGCCCCTGGCACTCGTTGGGGAGCAATGTCCTGTTGCAGCTTCTGGTTGACTTTGCCACGTGTTCAAACTCTGCGCCTCTGGCAGCTCGGACCCGCTCGGCTGGCACCATACCCCTCCAAGCCCTCAGCGTCACGCCTCTCCAGGGAGCGTGGTGTGGACCCGCGGGCCTCAAACTCCCAGAGGAGTGGGGCTACGACGAACCCCTCTGGCGTGGTCCTCTTCTCTCTTCCTTTGCGTGTGTTTTCCACGCGCGGGGGAGGCGCTCAGCATGAGACTGACGCTCACGCCTCCGCCCCTTGCATCCTCCCGACGAGCCAGCTCCAACCCAGGGACGCTCGGCACTGGGTTTTTGTCGCACTGCGTTAAGCTCCAGTCTGACCTCTATGCCTCCTCTCCTCTTGTCTCAGGGGGGCTGCCCCTCTCTTTGGAGGCCCTTGGGGTGCACAGCTAGTCACCCGCTCTGTGCTCTTGTGTGGACGCCCACGGCTCTCTGGTCCCTTCAGGACTGCCCCAGCTCTGCCCCGGGCTGCGCTGTGCTGCCTCCTCAGCCTTTGACCCCAGGACCTGTTCTCGCTCAGGCGCGTACTCTGGCCTCCGAGTGTCTGCGAACTGTCTGAGGCCTGCCTTGCGGTCGGTGTCTCGCTCCATTCTGCTGTCCCCTGCCGGCGCGCAGGGGACTGTTTCAGCTCTTTTGTGTTGACTGAAGCAGGCCTCATGGCCTAAGAGCCGGTGTGTTCTGGAGGGAGTTCCCGTGCCGCTGAGAAAAACGTGTACTCTGCTGTTGGACGAAGCACCCTGTCACTGACCAAGGCCACTTGTTCAGTGCTGACATTTAACTCTGATACTCCTTTGTTGATTTTTTTGTTTAGTTGGCCTATCTGTGACCGTGGGATTTGAAGTCCCCCACTATGGTTGTGCTGGTGTCTGCCTGTCCTTTCAAATCTAGCAGTGTTTGCTCCGTGAAATTGGTATCTGGATACTCGCTGCAGAGTTTCCTGTAGAACTGTCCCACTTGCTCTTACGGGGTGGCCGTCTTTGTCACTTCTGGTCAGCTTTGGCTGAATGTAAGGCCGCTACTCCTGCTTGCGTTCAGGCTCCAGAAGCTCCTCTGAGACCCAAGCAGAGCGGAAGCCCGTTCGCCCCACTGGAGAGCAAGCTAGGACTCGTGGGCAGAGGAGGACTAAGCCATCGGCAGGGCCGCGGCGGGCGGAGGGGCAAAGTGCAGGGGAGAAATGGCCAAGCAGACGCCGCAGAATGGCTTGTGAGGACTGGGGCAGCGCAGCTGGACTGCCCCGTCCCACCCGCATCACAGAGGAGCCAGGCTTGGCCTTCGGAGCCCGGGCCTGCGAAATCGCCCAGGCAAAGACCCCCTGTCTGGTCTCCTCCACCAGGAAAGCTCCGGCTTTTCCTCGGGGAGAGGAATTGAATGACAGGGAACAGGTCTGCAGTTCCCAGGCTCCTCTGAGACAGGCCAGGGTTTGGGGTTGTTGGTTCTGTTTGTGGTACTGGGAATGGAACTCGGGTCCTCGAGCATGCCAGGCTGGCCTCAAACTTGCCATCCTCCCGCCTCAGCCTCCCAGGTAGCTGGGATTACAGGCATGAGTCACCAGGACTAGCAAGGCCAGGATTCTTGCAGAAGGTAAAGATTGGTTCTTGCAGAAGGAGAACCTGTGGTGATAAGGATGCAGAGGCCTCCTGGGCAGATCCAGGAGGTAAACAGGGGCTGCTAGACCCAGCACCCGAGCCCTCTGCACATGCAGGCATGGGCAGGGCCCAGATAGGATCAGGAGCGGGGGGAGAGAGGGACAGGAAGGAGAGGCCCTGTCCCCTGTCCAGGAAGGGATGGGATGTGGGGCAGCGGGGTGCTATGCTGAGTACATTGCCAGTATCCATAACCACAGCTCTGGGGAGGGAAAATAGTCTCCAAAATTAATCACCAAGAGGAACCTCAAAGCCAACCTGCGCTTAGATAGGAGCAGACCAGCCCGAGATGGCCCAGCCCACAGGGCTGAGGGGACATGCGCTGTGTGCGTGTATTCCACTCTGCACACCCGAGGACAGGACTCACTTTTAAAGGTGGACTCTGGCATCTCTGATGTTTGGGAGACCACATTATATCTTTTGTTCGTTCTTTGTATTTTGAGACGGTCTCGCTGTGTAGTTCAGGCTGGACTTGAACTCACAGAAATCCTCCTGCCTCAGCTTCCCAAGTGCTGGGATTACAGGTGTGTGCCACCATGCTTGGCTCCCACTTTACTTCTGAGGATTGATCTGAACCCCTCATTCCCTCCCTGAAGAGAAGCCTTGAGGTTCAGGGCTAGCGTCTCCCCGACCCTCACACACATGGGCGCGACTGAGGCCAGAGGCTGTTACCCGGCCCTTGGCAGAGCGTAGCACTTTCCTGCTGCCTCCCCGCCCCTTCCCTCCGGGAGCCCCAGCTTCCTCGCACCTGAGTGGCTGGGGTGCTGCCCGGGCCATGTGTGCCCTGCTGGCCGGCATCCCTTGCAGACCTATAGATGGCGACTGGGCAGCGACGACCCGTCCCACCACATCGTTGCCCTCGGCCAGCAAGCCCTCGGTCACACGGTCACCATGGCCAGTGGGGGCTGGGCGGCCCCAGAGGCCCCGCCTGCCCTCTTCTGTCGCCCTTCTCTCCACCTCGGGTGGCTGTGGGGCCCCCAGGAGCCCCCAGGTAGCCCCGTACCCAGGGATCAGGGTGGACGCGGTGGCTCCTTGCGCACCGTGAGCCCCACGTGGCCCACGAGCAGCGCCCAGCTGCGGGGCAGCCCCGGGCCTGCACAGCCCAACCCAGCGCAGCTCTGCTCCCCAGGCCTGACCATCGGTGCGGGCTGCAGCCTGGCCCAGCTGCAGGACGTCCTGGCCAAGAGCATCTCCGAGCTCCCGGAAGAAAAGACGCAGACGCTGCGAGCCCTCGCGACGGCCCTGCGCAAGCTGGCTGGCCAGCAGGTCCGCAACCTGGCGGTACGTCTCCGTGCCCAGCGTGGCGTGGTCCGACCTCCCAGGCTGCTGGGGCTGCAGACTCAGTGTGCCAGGGCCTCAGCAGGCGGTGGCAGAAGCACTTAAAGTAGCAGGTGTCGGTGAATAAAAGTAGCAAGGTGGCCCAGCAGCCGGCTGAGAAAAAGAAGCCACGATTCTTCGCGTTTGTGATAAGCCGCTCCAAGGACCTGGGTTAGACTCAGCCGCATACAGAAGCAGAGCGCCTCGGCGAGGAGGGGCTTCTCTACCTGCCCAGCCACAGCCCAGCCGGAGCACAGCTGGCAGGAGAAAGGGACAGCGCAGCGAGCAGAGGTCCAGGTGGTGAAGGCACACGCCTCCTCTCTGCGCCCTGCATGGGGCCTTAGGAGGCCCCAGGAGAACCGCTGCCTGTGCCAGCGCTCAAGGCCCGGCCTGCGGGAGCCGGGCGGGAGTTGGTGGGGACGGCGGCAGGGCCGCTCAGGGCAGGGGGCAGTGGGGCCCTGGCCTCAGGCTCCGCAGCAGGCGGGGGAGGTCACTGCAGGGGAAGGTTGCTGCGGAGGCAGGACGCAGGAGCAGGGCTGGGCGCCTCCTCCCTGACTCAGAGGCTTGGCCGAGGGCTCCTCCCTGCATGGGCTGCAGTCCACCTCGCCATGGGCCGGGAGGCGTCCCTGGGGACCCAGTCGTGGTCACGGGTGGCTGGTGCAGCCCGTGGGGCCTGCCCCTGTGGTCCACCCAACCTCCCTCATCTCTGAGTCCAGGGGCAGTGAGGCTGGCACCGGGTGCCCAGACTCGTGGCCACGGGGCGCGGGTCCAAGGTGAGCTGCTCTCTCCTCAGTCTCTAGGGGGCCACGTCATGAGCCGGCAGAGCTCCTCGGACCTGAACCCCATCCTGGCTGTGGGCAGAGCGGCCCTCCATCTGCTCTCAGAAGGTGAGCCCAGACCACACGGCCGAAGGGCTGTGTCTTTCTGAGGGTTTCCTTGGGGCTTCGCCTCGGGCCAGAGCCGGCCCAGCCCCGCTCTACCTGAGGAGCCCAGGTCTCCTTCACACAAGCACAGACCCAGGCCCCACCCGAGGCCTCCGCGGGCTCCATGTCCGCAGCCTGAGCCCTGTGGCCCTGCACCCCAGCCTGGGGCCCCGCAGCCCCTCCCCCCTCCCCCAGTGCTGGGAAGGAGCCCGGCAGTGAGGACACGGCGGCCGGGGCTGGGGCGGCCTCGCCTTCGCTCCCTCCTCTTCTCCCGAACCCAGTCCTGAGCCTGCTCCTCCTGCCGTTTCCTGAAGTAACCCCGACCCTGACCCCCAGCCGCCCTCTCCTCCCTTCCCTTCCATTCCCTGCGTGCTGTGTGCCTGGGAGTCCCCGACATCCGCCAGCCCCAGCCCACGGTGCAGACAGACAGGATTCAGAGGACCCACGCTGCCCGGGCCCACAGGGGCCCTGCATCCAGGTGCCGGCTTCCGGTGCGGCCCTCTTGCCTCAGGGTCCCATGGCAGAAGGCAGGAAGGCAGGAGGGGATCCCGCCCAGGGCGGGCCCTGTGGCCTGGTCTCCTCCTTAGGTCTTGTCTTTTTTTGTTTGTTTGCATCTTTTTCGAGCTCATGTGTGCAGCACGTCTTCACGAGGAGCCGAGACCCACGCCCGCGGTCTGCGGGGACCGGGGTGCCGGGGAGCGGAGCTGGGGCTCCACACGCAGCCCCGCACCCCTGTGCCGAGCAGGGGACCCTGCTCCCTGGGGAGGAATAAAGGCATGACGGCAGACGCCCTCTCCACAGGAGGTGCCAGGCTGATGCCGCTGGACGAGCTCTTCCTGGCGGGAACGGCGAGCGCCGGCCTGCGGCCCGGGGAGATCCTGGAGTCCGTGCACGTCCCATACTCGCGGAAGGTCGGAGCCCACAGCCCCTCGTTTCCCCTTTCCTACCGGAGTCTGGTCACCCTTAGGACAGCAACACAGGTGGCAGGGAGAGAGCCCTGCCCGGAGCCCCGTCCTGCTGAGTCCAGCACCAGGGCCCTCGGACAGACGGATGGACGGACGGGGCTCGAGGCTGGGAGGGCTGCAGGGTCATGGGGGGTCCCTGCTTCCATGCCCCCTTCTCGCTACCTGGGGAGCAGGGCACCCGGGTTCTGCCCCTACACTCCTGCCAGCACCCGGGGCTGCAGCGGCCATGGAGGAAGCCCTGGGCCCTCTCCCCGACCCCCAGGCTCTCGGCGAAGGGCGCTCAGGCCGCCTTGCACCGAGCTCCTGGAGGTGTGGCCGAGGGGACAGTCCCTCCCGCCGGCCCGCAGGGCAGCCAGCCTCTCCACTTGCCTGCTGTGTCCGCGTCTCCCCGCCCTCACCACAGTGGCCCTGTCTCCACAGAGAGAATTCGTGTCCGGCTTCCGGCAGGCCCAGGCCCCGCAGAATGCCATGCCGCACGTGAGCGCGGGCATGCGCGTGCTGCTCGCAGAGGGCACCAATGCCATCGAGGACCTGAGCATCGCCTACGGCGGGCTGGGCGCCACCGCAGTCATGGCACCGCGGTCCTGCCAGCAGCTCCTGGGCAAGTGAGTGCTGAGCCGGCCGAGGCCCGTGGGGTTGAGGGGACCCCTGCGCCTCCCCCCGCCACTCTCTCCAGGATTTCACCGCATGACTCGTGACCCGGGCGCCGCCAGCTGGGGTCCCCTGCGAGCCCTCGATGGGGATGTGGGGACCGAGCCCTGTCCCGGGCGGTGACGCTGGCTGTGTCTAGCGCTTCAACGCCAGCATGGTGGAGCAGGCCCCCTCCTGCCCTTGGGGCCCTGGGTGTGACCCCTGCGGCTAGTGGATGCCTGAGCTCCAATGGCCTCTAAGCAGCTCCTCCACCCACCCACCAGGCCCTGGACCGAGGAGACGCTGGACGAGGCCTGCAGGCTGGTCCTGGGCGAGGTCGCCATCCCCGGCCCGGCCCCTGGCGGCAGGGTGGAGTTCCGGAGGACCCTGCTGGTCAGCTTCCTGTTCAGGTTCTACCTGCAGGTTCTGCGGGAACTGAGGAGGGGCCGGGCCCCAGGGGCCCCGAGCACCCTGAGCGTGAGTGTGCAGCACTGGGTGAGCATCGGGGTGGGCAGTGGTTACAGCGCTGAGACAGCTGCTCACACCGCTCACTTGGCTTCGGGCAGTGGCTGGCAACCTTTGGGGTCCCCTACGGTACAGAAGCTTCACCCGCTCCTGCCTTCAGTACCCCATCCCCAGCACATGCCCAGCTGTCACCTTCTCAACCCCCAAGGCAACCTGGATCAAGGCCCCTCCCAAGGACCACACTTTACCTAGATGTCTCGGTTGTACAACCCCACCTGTGTGGTGCTGTGGCACACACTATAACCCCAGGCACACAGAAGGCTGAGGCAGGAGGGTTGCAAGTCCAGCATAAGCAATTTAACAACACTCTATCTAAAAATAAAAAATAAAAAGGGCTGGGGGTGCAGCCCAGTGGTAGAGCACCGCTAGGTCTAATCCCTAGCTCGAGGCAAGAGGGCACACAAAATAAAAACAAACCCTGCCTTGTTCGGGAACGGCCCATTCTGAGGTCCTGGGTCAGGTCAGCCCACACACCTGGAGGCCCAAAACCCGAACCTCCGGCTGCAAAGGCTGCCCCCAGCTGTGAGCTCCAGACCCCTCGGCCTTGTGCAAACTCCCTGTGGGTGGCCTGGCAGTCACCTGTCACCTGTCCTGGGCCAGCTGCAGATGTCCACCTTGCTCCCTCCCCACACTGAGTGCCCCTCACTCCTGGCTCGGTGCAGGGTTTTCTTTCACCGTGAGCTGTGTTGAAGCAAAGTTTACCCCAGTCCAACACACATGTGCAGACTCAGCGTTCCGGCAGCTGTGTGCCCTGGGCAGCAAGCACCTCGCCCTGCACAGGACATCAGCCAGGCCACCGCGGCACCGGCCACATCACTGCCCGCCCACTCAGCAGCCGCTTACTCTAGAGTTTTATACTCAGTATGATACGTAAAACGAAGTCTTACTTCCCAGGGCAACCAAAGCCGATCTGCACAGTAGTACACTAATGTGCAAGCTGCCGTCTGGCTTTTCTGACCGTGAACTTCTGGAACAAGTAGAACAAAGCAAAACCTCCTCCTCTCCCTCTCCTCCTCCCCTCGCCTGCCCGTGGCTCACCTTCCCTGCACACACAACCCAGCCCGCCACCCAGGGCCCTAAACCATCTGCCCTCCACTGGCTGAGGCGGGGACCGGCTGTGTGCCAGCGATGGCAGGGAGACCTCCAGCCCAGCAGCTCTCGGGAGGCCTTGTGCCTGGGCAAGGACAGGGCATCTGTGGACGGGGCTCCTGCTTGCTCTGAGGGGCTTAGGCAGCGCTCTCCCCAGACACACACGCAACACACACATATGCACACGCACACACACCTACACAGAAGACGCCAGCACGTGCGTGCATGCTCAGAGCCCCGCTCCCGGGCTGGCCTCTCCCTCCTGGGGGCCCAGCAGTAGATGCAGACATCCTTCCAGGTCCTCTCGTGCTAGGAAGGGGCAGGGGAAGGGTGCCATGACCTGGGTCCCAGCCGCAGTGAGGATGGCGGTTCCTGGGCCCCCAGACCCACAGCCGGGCCCCTTCCCTGCACCAGGGGACTGTCTGGCTTCTGCTCACGGCTGAACTGTCCCCCAGGACATCTGGCGGTATCCCCGGCTCCCAGACCAGTCGCTCGGTGCGCTGGAGGACCTCCCTGTCACGGTGCCCCAGGGCATGCAGACGTATCAGGTCAGCGGGTTTCCCTCACCGTCCTGGAGTGAGCAGGGGACCTCTAAGTCTTGGAACAAAGGGGCCCCCCATGGAGGAGGAGGAGCCCTCCGCTGCCTCCCCCTCCCCACCTGGCCAGAAGGCTGGCCCTGCCCCCTTTGGGGTGTCGCCACACAACTGAAGTGACAGCTCCCCTACTGGTTGTGCCACTATGCTGTCCCACGCACCCTCTGGAGGGGACCATCCAGTCAGGAGGGCTGGGGCAGCCAGGCCCCCGGGAAAGTCTAAAGTGCCTGTCTTCCCCGCAGAGAGTGGACCCTCAGCAGCCATCCCAAGACCCCGTAGGCCGCCCAGTCATGCACCTGTCCGGCCTGAAGCATGCCACAGGGGAGGCAGTGTTCTGTGACGACCTCCCCAGGGTGGACAGAGAGCTGTCCATGGCCTTGGTGACCAGCACCAGGCCTCACGCGAGGATTGTGTAAGTGCACAGAGAGCTTCGGGTGCCGGGTAAGGGTCCCTGGGCCGGGCCCCTTGCCCTGCGAGGTCCTGAGGGGAGGGGAGGAAGGCCGCAGCGCTGGATGGCGGGGAGCCCTGGGAATGACGGAGAGAGCCAAGCACCGCCACGGCCCAGGCCCCCTCTGAGCCGCGCAGGGCCCCAGCATGCTCGGGGCAACTGGGGCAGGGCAAGCTGCCCACCAAAAGTGGAAATGCCCGCATCACTGTGTGCTCCCCCGACTCACACACACGTGTCACAGTGCCCAGGGACACTCCCTGTGGCCATGCTGTCCCTGGCCGGACGCAGCACTCCCTGGGCCCTGGCCACCCGCCATGCACCCGCTCAGCCACTGCTCCTCCCTCCTGGGCCCTGAGCCGGCGGCCGCTGCGCCCTCAGCCCTCCCTGTGCGCGCGCAGGTCGGTGGACCCGGCCGAGGCCCTCAGGCTCCCCGGGGTGGCTGATGTGATAACGGCCAAGGACATCCCAGGCACCAACGGCACAGAGGATGACAGGCTGCTGGCTGTGGACGAGGTACGCACGCGGTGCGCCTTCCGGGTGACTCCGCGGGAACAGCCAGCAGCTGCCCCGGCCCACTGGCCGCGGCCTCTCCAGCCCCCTCCGTCCACTCCCCTGGAGTCGGGAAGCCCCAGGGTGAGAGGAAACATCACAGGGTCACCCACACCGCGTGGCCCTCGAGTCCACGTCCCGCCCTGACTCCACGTTATCCCTGCTCCCACGACGTGAGTCCCCGCGAGGGTGAGCTGGGCCACCTGTCCCCACCCGAGCGCCCTGTGCACTGCGTAGGTGCTGTGCGTGGGCCAGGTCATCTGTGCTGTGGTGGCAGAGACGGACGAGCAGGCGAAGAGAGCGACTGAGAGGGTCCGGGTCACCTACGAGGACCTGGAGCCCGTCGTCTTCAGCATCCAGGTGAGCGTGGGGGCGGGGCTGGCAGCCTCCTCCCTGCAGCTGGGGCCGGGAGCCCCCAGGTAAGCCTCTCCAAGCAGGACCTGCTCAGGGATGTGGCTTTTTCCTTGACATTGGTTTGTGTTCTCCAGAAGACATTACTTCTGTGACTTGCAATTACCTTTGGCTTCAAGTAACAGGGAAAAAAACATAGACTAGAAGTTTCTCTCTCACCTTCCCCAAGTCTAGAGCCGTCAGCCAGGGCTCAAGGGGCGCCTCCATCTGTGTGGTGCTGTTCACAAGCCACAAGACCTGGTGATTTATAGAACAAAAACTGACTTCTCCTGGGTCAGGAGTCCAGGAAGCCCCAGGTGGAAGGGCTGCAGGCAGGGCGCATCATCCCAGCAGAAGCGGAAGCCGAGGGTGTGTGTACATTTATAGCAAACGCCTCTTCTGACGACAGACCCCCTCTCAGCATCTGGCCGCAAGACCCCTCTCTGCACGGTTCCCCGGGGCCTAGGATCCAAACGCAAACTTTGGGGCCCCTCCACCATGTGGACACGCCCTGCATGAGAGGGTGCACATGAGTCTTGCGGTGGGATCCTACGGCTTTGATGTAGGTGTCCACAAAGCCCTGGGTGACCATGGGTGCTGGATTAAGGGGTCACAGCTGCCCTGCGGTGAGGAGGCAGGGCCTGCGCAGAAGAGGCAGTCCCGGGCTGTGGCCTGGGCAGTTTTCTCTCTCTGCTCCCCTCACGGCTCTCCCTGCAGCTCTTCTCTGCCAGGCACCCCTCCTGGGCCTTCTGCCCACCCTGCAGCCCGCAAACTATGGACTGGAACCTCTGCCAGCCTCGAGCCAAAATAAACCCTCCTGCCTTAACCAGCGGGTGCCGTGTCCCAAGGCGGGAGGATGGCTAAGACACACAGCCTGGTTCTGAGTGTCGGGCCTCAGCCTCCCTCCGGCCGTTTCTGCATCGTGCACGGTTTCCAGGTCGCTTCTGGGTCCACAGTGACTCCCGAAACTCTGGCTGTTAAGTGGATGTCTCGGGCACTTTCCCATCTCTGGCCACAGCTGAAAAGAGGTTCATTTCACTCCCGGTTTTAGGAGACTCGGTCATGGTTGGCTCAGGCAGAAAACAGCGTGGTGGAGGGGCCACCACTCCCAGCACCAGGGTGCAGAGGGAGACTGGGCCCTTCCCGAGCTCCCCCCCCCCCCCCCCCCGTGACCTCACTACCTCCTCACCGGCGCTCTCTGCGGGTCTGGAAGACTGTCCCACCCAGGCGCTCTCCGGCCCACGCAGCCCCTCGAGGGGGAGACCGTGACATGGGGGCGCCGAGCTTCTGCAGGAACAAACCTCCAGGGAACGGAAGCGGGAGTCACTGGCTTTCGTGTTCTCCTTTACTCAGGATGCCATGAGGCAGAATTCCTTCCTGTGCCCCGAGAAAAAGCTCGAGCAAGGCAATGTGGAGGAGGCATTCGAGAAAGCAGACCGCGTCATTGAAGGTGAGTGGCTCAGGGCCTTTCCTGGGCTCTGAACCCGGCCCTGAGCCTGTGCTCCCCTCAGAAAGTCACCCTCTGGAGTCGGGGTCTCACACACCCACTGCTGTTCTTCTCACGTGTGTGTGCACGTGTGTGTGTGTGCGTGCACACGTGCTGTATTAGGAGGTGAAGGGGGCACAGAATAAACACTCTGGTGAGTCTAGGTCAGCGGAAGGAACGGAAACTTCCAAGGCTATGGCCCCTGACACGGTCATCCTCAGGCGCCACCAGACTGGAGCCTGGCTCCGTGGTGGGGACAGTGCAGGCCAGCCCCCCCCCAGCCCCCCAGCTCCTGGGAGGCTGGCTTCCGGCCCACACCCCTCGTCCTCTGTGCTGGCTTGCAGGGGAGGTGCACGTCGGGGGGCAGGAGCATTTCTACATGGAGACCCAGAGGGTGCTTGTCATCCCCAAGGCTGGGGATGGAGAGCTGGACATCTACGCGTCCACTCAGGACCCCGCCCACGTGCAGGTGAGGGCCGAGGGGCAGTGGGGCCCTCCTAGCTTCAGGAATCTGGAGCCCAAGCGGTGGGTGTGCATGAGGCAGCAAGACCCAGAGCCTCTTAAGCGGTTCTGGTTTGATCAGGTACTAAAACAGCACCACGGTCCCCTCGGACTTGAAGCCCGCTTACGCGTGTCAGGCGCGGCTTAGACTCCGTGGCGCCAGCAGTGCCGGTCGTGCGCTCACCGCCCCTGCAGCCTTGGCGCCAGCTCAGCGCTCTGCGGCGCGTTCTCCCGCGCAGTCAGCCTCGGAGCTTCGCGCACATCCTCCACGGCCGGGGGTCAGAGTCTGTTTTCCCCGAGATTCAGGCCCAGGGTTAGGTGGGAATCGGCCCCTGCAGCTGCCCCCAGGAGACCCGTTTTCTGCCGGAAGAGCTATTCCGGAAGACAGAACGCCTACACTTCTCTCACTCACGAATCTTCCATGATCTCACTTTTCCAGAAAACAGTGTCCTTGACCCTGAACGTCCCCCACAACCAGGTCACCTGCCACGTGAAGCGCGTGGGCGGGGGCTTCGGGGGCAAGGTGGGAAAGCCGGCCGCGCTCGGGGCCATCGCAGCGGTGGGCGCGATCAAGTGAGTGCCGGGCCACAAGGCGCCCCACACAGACCTGGGGGCGGCAGTGTGGGGCCCCTGGTCAGCGCCCGCCGGCCAGTGATTCCCGTCTCTGCTCCACCACAGGATGTGGGTGAGGGCATCGCCCACCTCCCTGCCCTTCCCAGCCCTTGCAGAAGTCACACCCGGTGACTGTGAACACACTTCTGTGCGTGCATTAGGTAGAAAACACTGCCTTGTCCCTGGCACACCCCAGGGCTGGAGAAGGCACACATGCGGGGCCACGGCACCCCCTGCTCCCACCTGTCCCTCCCACCCTCAGTCCCAGGATGAGAAGGTGCATCTCCGCTCTGGCGGCGCACACCTGCCCAGCAGGCAACAGCCCCCTGTCACGCAGCCACGCCCCCTGAGCTGTCCCTCCAGGCCCCAGGCCCTGCCACCTTTGGGAGCTCAGCGTGGCCCACAGCGCGCTCTGGATGCTGCCAGGGTGGGGACAGCAGGCTCTGAGCCCGTCTGCTCACCCACAGGACCCAGTGACCACACAGGTCAGCTCTGAGATTCCCACCGGGGCTCTCACACAGGGCAGGGCCTGGAGCCCTGGGCCACCCCTGCTGCCGGCCTCTGTGTGTTTAACTTCGCACCAAGTATAGGGCCGGGGAGCATATGCGTGTCAGCACCGAGGGATCCCAGCACATTGTCCCCAGACCGCTGAGGTCAGGGCCCCGGAGCTTCCTGCCTCCATGGTAGAGCACTTGCCTAGTGTGTTCTCCGGCACCAATGAATAAGTCGATCTCTAAAAGAAAGAGGGCTGGGGGTGCAGCTCAGTGGTAGAGCACATGCCTAGCAGGCATGAGCCCTGGTTTGGTCTGCAGGAGGA